TCCCAAGTATTTGATTTTTTTTTGTTTCAATAATAAAAGGGATGGTTTTTTTGATTTCTTCTTTAGATTTATTGTTTGTATATAGGAAGGCTACTGACTTTTGCGTGTTGATTTTGTATCCTGCCACTTTACTGAACTGATTGATGAGTTGAATTAGTTTTTCTGTGGAGTTTTTGGGGTTCTCTATGTATATTATCATATCATCTGCAAATAGTGATAGTTTGACTTCTTCTTTTCCTATTTGGATTCCTTGTATGTCTTTCTCTTGTCTTATTGCTCTGGCTAGGACTTCCAGTATTATATTGAAAAGCAGTGGTGAGAGTGGACATCCTTGTCTTGTTCCAGATCTTAATGGGAATGCTTTCAGCTTTTCGCCGTTGAGAGTGATACTGGCTGTTGGCTTGTCATATATGGTCTTTATGATGTTGAGGTATGTTTGGAAACTGAATTTTTTTTAAAGATTTATTTATTTATGCATACAAGAGCTGGGGTACAGGCCAGAGATGCAGTGGGGGGGGGGGGAGGGGTTGAAAGGATTCATGAGAGACAGTGTGAAGAACAGAACAGGCAGATTGACCAAAATACACTGCTGAAGAGAGTAGCGGGCGAGACAGGAGAAGTCTGCTGTGCCATGTGGGTTGCTCCCTGGCCAGCCGGGGATTGAACTCGTGCTGCAGAGGCTGCGGATTGCTTCATAATGTGGTGCTTAACCCCTTGCACCACCAGAGAGGCCCAGAAACTGAATGTTTTTTAAAGATTTATTTATTTATACATACAAGAACTGGAGTACAGACTGAAGGGGGGGGTGGCGGTGAGAGGATTCAGCAGAGACAGAGTGGGGAACAGAACGGGCAGATTGACTGAAATACATTGCTGAGGGGAGCAGCAGGCGAGTCAGGAGAGGTCTGCCGTGCCATGTGGGTAGCTCCCTGTTGGGGGATCGAACTTGTGCTGTAGTAGCTGCGGATAGCTTCTTAGGTTGTGTCTCAACCTCTTGCACCACCAGGGAGACCCTGAAAGTGAATTTTTATTTATTTATTTATTTTTAAACTCTGTTTTAGGTTTATTTTTATTTATTTTTTTAAAAGATTTATTTATTTATTTATACAAGCACTGGGTACAGTCGGAAGCACGGGAGGGTGAGAGAATTCACCAGAGCCAGAGCGGGGAACACAACAGGCAGACTGACGAAATACACTGGTAAGGGGAGCAGTGGGCGTGGCAGGAGAGGTCTGCGCTCCATGTGGGACCCTCGCCGGCTGGCCGGGGAATTGAACTGGTGCTGCAGAGGCTGCAGGCAGCTTCGCAACCCAGTGCTCAACCGCTGAGCCACCGGGGAGGCCCGAAAGTAAATTTTTAAAAGCAAAGTTCAATTCATTCCTAAAGAATGGACTTCCCATTTTTGTAGCTATTAGATTATGGATGAGATTTCATTAAGGTAATAGCCCCAAAACCTTAGAGGTTGCTTTCAGTGGGAGTTAACATTCCAAAACAAGTAGATACAATACTCTTGTCCCTCAGGGCCTTTTAGCTCTCAAACCAACTGAGCTGCTATAATTTCCAAAATACTTGTCTTCTGATGGCTATGTAAGGTTCTCTTAATGGCCATATAAACCTCTGGTAGCATTAGGCTAGTCTGTATCTTTTTTTATTTTTATTGGTCTCTGTACTTGAACTCCTTGATAGACAACTTTAAAGGAAGCTGATAAAGGAAGCTCACTTTAATAAAATGATTGTGTTTAGATACTTATTATTAGAAGCTGTGTTCCAAAATACTAATTTAAAGCCCAATCATTAAGGTTAAGAGGGTTTGTTCATCACACTAGACAACTTATTTTGAGGCTGTTGTTAAGCCATACAGGCTATTGTTATTTCAAACATGTCTATCTCTGATATATTCTTAGACGTTTTTTGAACCATCAGTATGATAGAGTTTTTTTTTAGTATGATAGAGTTTTAATAAGCAGTTGAATAAATGATATTTGTTCACTGAAAAAGTGTTTGTTGCTGTTTAATCTACCTCCCCATATGAGATCTATAGTTTCCTTAGTAGTTTTTACCTGATTATCAAGAATTCCTACTCTACTTTCAAGGTAGTCTTACAACTGGATTTATTCTTATTCCAAAATCTTTAGTATTTTCTATTACTATATGGCCTGCTTTTTTTCTGATATGGAACTGAGGTGTTTAGAGAATGATTATATTAGGTGTTACTCCTACATCTTTTGGTCAGCTTGAAAAAATGCTGATGCCTGGGTTGTACTCCATACCAATCAAATCAGAATGTAAGGGGTAAGAACCTAAGTGTTTTTTAAAAGGTCCCTAAGTGATTCCAGTGTGCAGCAAGGTTTAGAACCCCTTGGCTTTACTTACTAACCATATAGCTTAGAGGCTCTCCCTCCCATTTGTCTATTTATTCTCTAGGATTTATTAGATAGCGTCATAATAATGCATTTTAGTTACTTGAAAAAGATGTTATACATATATAAGATATTATTGTTGTTATTACCACTATTACTATTTACATTGCAAAAAGTCACTTTTGTGGTAAATATAACAAGTTCTACCATTTTGACCATTTTTAAGTGTACAGTTCTGGGGCATTCAGTACAATCACATCGTTGTATTATACCATTACCACCATCCATCTTCAGAACTTTTCTCATCTTCCCAAACTGAAACTCCATCTCCATTACAAAGTAACACCCCTCTCTGCAGCCCCTCACAACAACCATTCTACACTGTCTCTATGAATTGGACTACTCTTGGCACTTCATATACATGGAAACATAGAGATTTTTGTTCTTTTATGACTGACGGACTTCTATTAAATATCTTCAAGGTTCATCCATGTTGGAGTATGAATGTATTAGTATTAGAATTTCCTCCCTTTTTGAGGCTAATAATATTTCATTATATGTATATACCACATTTTGTTTATCCATCTTTTGGCTGTTATAAAAAAATGCTGCTATTACCGTGCAAAAATAAGAAGCCAATTTAAAGTAATGAACTAGGACCTCCCCGGTGGTGCAGCGGTTGAGCGCTGGCGCTGGGTTGCGAAGCTGCCCACAGCCTCTGCAGCCCAGTTCAGTCCCCAGCCGCCGGGTGAGGCACCCAAATGGTGCGCAGACCTCTCCTGCCGCCCGCTGCTCCCCTCAGCAGTGTATTTCGTCAGTCTGCCTGCTCTGCTCCCCGCTCTGGCTCTGGTGAATTCTCTCACCCTCCCGTGCTTCTGACTGTACCAGTGCTTGTATAAATAAATAAATAAATCTCAATAAATAAATAAATAAATAAATAATGAACTGATAGCTTTTTCTCCCTCTACAAGATGCTCATCTGGATAAATTGCTTGTTCTTAATGGATATGTTGTAGTATAGTCCACCAGATGAGAGTGTCTCTGTCTTTTAATAAATATGACAAAAAGTAGGTACTATTCCAGATACTTTCAAGATTTATTTCAAAAGTGGTAGTAGTAATTTCACTTTATTGAATCAGAACTCATATCCAGGCTATAGATCAATCACATAGAAGCTGTTTAAAACAAATACAGAGGCAAACATCTCTGGATGTCTAGAATAAAATAAAGGACTTACAAAGTGCAAAATTGTAAGCTTCAAAACCAACCTGTAAAGGTGCCCTGGTCACATTGCTCTAGACGTTATAAACTAGTTAGATTAAATCTAGAGACTATGTCAGGATTCTTCTGTCTCTGCCTATGTTACTTGGACCATTTGGCTCTACATCTATCTATACATGGTCTTAGCTTTTTTGTATTACAGTACCTGAGCTATGAACTCACTTTTTTACTTTTTTCTACTTTTAATGAACCTTTGTCTCTTGACCTCCAGGAAGGATATACTTTCATTTTTACACTTTAGATAGGTGTTTTCATAAGATTTCAGTTGTGTATTCCATAAAGCTTTGCTCTTTCATTTTTCCACAGCCCCATCCACCTATCATTACAGTATCAAAGAACTTTCCTTTGGTGTGTATATTTCACTTTAATTGTCTTGACACATTTCCTGACATTTTCACTTATAATAGTAGACAGTTGAAATGAAAGGAACCTTGGCAACACCACTGAAATGAAACTTTATTTAATTAAATTAAAGAAATGAAACTTTGTCTTGGTCTTTTTGGATTGTGTCTATGTGCTTTAGCAGTACAGACTTGTTTTCAAATTAAGAATATAATGAGATATCATTTTATTATATTTCATTGTATTTCCCTTTTATTTTTTTTAAAGATTTGTTTTGTTTACATATATAAAAGCTGGGGTGTAGGACAGAGGTATGGGTGGTGAGAGGATTCACCAGAGACAGAGCTGGGGCAGAACAGCTGGATTGACTGAAATACATTGTTAAGGGGAGCAGTGGGCAAGACAGGAGAGGTCTGCTGCCCCATGTGGGTTAGCACCCTGCCAGGGATTGAACTAGTGCTGTAGTGGCTGTGGATAGCTTCATAGTACTGAGACCCAATCCCTTTCGCCACCAGGGAGGCCCTGTATTTCCTTTTTATAAAAACAGGTTTTTTTTAAGATTTATTTAGATATACGTACAAGAACTGGGGTATACAGGCCAGAGTTGTGGGGGCTGAGAGAATTCACTAGAGACAGTGGGGAGCGGAACAGGCAGATTGACTGAAATACACTGCTGAGGGGAGCAGCAGGTGAGCCAGGAGAGGTCTGCTGCGCCATGGGGTAGCTCCCTGGCCAGAGATTGAATTCGTGCTGCAGTGGCTGTGGTGAGCTTCATAGTTTGTGTCTTAACCCCTTGTGCCACCAGGGAGGCCCCTGTATTTCTTTTTTAAAGGAAATCCTTATTGTGTTTCCTCTTTACAAAACAATGCATCCTTAGTGTCCAAAATAAGAGAATATAATTTTAGAGCTAATTCTACAGGTGAAACATAACTAATTTGTTCTTTTTAGCTTAAGACTTATATATCAAACTCTATAGACTGAGAGACTAAGAGTGAGTAAACAAATCTTTCTTTCTAGATCTTCATCTGCTGGTGGATGTGGCCTGCAAGCAGGAACACTTTCCAAAGGAGGAAGAATTAAAAGAGTGAGGAATGAATGACAAATGTGACATTGTGCACTAGCTGTAGCTGGAGGCAGACTAGTCTTGCACATGACATACTGTTGGGATTTTTTTTTAGTTCTGTTAAGGAAAAAAAAAGTATTTTTTGTTTGTTAATTGAGAATTTTGTTAATTGAGAATTGGGAATTTGGTATTTACTACAGCTGTTCAGTTCAGATTATTTACCTTGACAAACTACTAAACATCTAGCGGCCTCGTTTTCTTTTTTTTTTTTTTCTTCCCAGACCCCTTCCAAATGAAAAGTCCTGGCCTTCTGTTACAGTCAAGAAGCATCTAATAACTGCTGCCTCTATGGTACTGGAGAATAATCTGTGTGTGTACTGATTTTATCGTCTTGCCACTCTCAAACTGTAGTCAGCACAACTCCAGTGAGAATTTCAGTCTGTCTGTTTCATAGTACATTGTGATCCTTTTAGAGACAATTGTGAGAAAAAAAAAGCATGTGAGGTGACCAAGATCACAGGTCTAAATGGGTCAGGAATTCCAGGGAAGAAACTCTGGGGAAGAGCTAATTTTCTAAGTGATTAACCAGGAAATGCTCTTACTTCCTAACCCAGCATTCTGTTTCAAGAGCAAGGCATCCGGACTTGGACCATTCATCACACTTAATAGCCCCTGATTCTTTTATATTAATGGGAGTATTCTTCTGTTTTCATTTCTTTAATTTTAATGATACATTGTCCTAAACGGTAAGAAGGTTTTGTTAATATATCACTTACTTAAATGTCTTCTAGAGAAAACTATTTAGCTTGTTTAATATAATTGTATTTATGAATGCTGGTAGATTTAAAAGTTTGAAAGCTTTATATTTTTATTAATGTTGCAGGATAGAAGGATAAAGGATGCATGTATAATATTTTTATTTTGAAGGGAAAATGTACAATGTGTGAACAAAAACATTAAGAGATTTGACACAGTGTTTTCTTATTTTAGATTTTTACATTCAGTAAGTATAAATCCTCATCTGTATAAGATATTGTGTGCAAATTTGGGAGAAATTGATTGGTAGTCATTTAACAGAAGCGATAACAGATATTTTTAATAGTTTATATCTGGTTTAAGTTTCTGAGAGAATTTTGGATAGTGGGATAAAGCATAACATTTTTATCTTATCCCCTCTGTAGGAGTCTGAATTTGAGTAGTAGGATTCGGGGACTGGTTTTGGGGAGAGGTATCTTGTCCAGTTTCTGTGGTTGATCCCTCACTTGCTCATCTAATGACAGCAAGAAGCTTTCTGATTTGAAGTCTTTTAAATCAACTAGAACTTTCTTATTGGATTCTGCTTTAGTTTCCTAATAAGCACTGCAGAAACAAAAGGAAAGCCTAGGAATATGAAACTCATTAAAAAGAAAAGGCACATAGTGATCTGACATAAATACTATGCCAACCATTGTGGGTATAACAATTCATTTCCTAAATTGCACTGTGCCTTCCCAATGATGTCAAACCCAAGAAGTGTTACAGAGATAATCGTTCTATTTTTTTTTTTTTTTAAAAGGACGAGCTCTGTGTTGGTCTGCACTGACTCGATTTAGGTATGGAAGTAGGTTCTAAAAAGTGATCTGTTTGGTCTATCTGATGAGACTAATTGATGTCCATGTGATGGGCATTTATTCATCTTTATTAGCAAAGTTTTAAAGATGAACAGATCATCAAGACCCCTACATCTTTTGGCCAACTATGTATTTTGGCAGAGTATGTGAAGAGGAGACCTAATTTCCAAATGAAGGGACTTTGCCTTTTTCTGTCATGTTGAAAAGCTGATATACTATGTAAGCGATACTCCTTCCCTTAAATGTGCCTTTCTTAGCTTTGGATATGTTGAAAGAGATAATATCTTTTAAGGAATATGTGTCAAGCAGGAACCTTGGCATGGAGTGGTTTCAATGGTTTTAAGGTTTAATTAATGAAATATCTTTATCAGCTTTCCAAACTTTTTTTATATATGAATACAACAGACCAAGGAGCTGGATCTCCTGCTATACTCACATACCTGGTACCTATCAACTAAAGCTGTCATCACTGACTTGGGCAAATGGCAAAAAATAAAATAAAATCTTTGTTTGAATTAGCCAGTAGGGTCTGACACATACTAACAAGGTTCTTGACTAACATTTCAGTATTTCAGCACCTTAAGCATGATAAATTTCAATCAGTCAACAATAAAGTGAGTGTTTCAACTAGACTTGTTGTCTTGCTTGTTTTTACTGCTTGGTGATCAAAAAAAGATTCAGTCATTATGACTATTAATTGCAGTAGTAAAGTTCAAAAGAGAATATATTCTGCTTTTTTTCTTTTTTTTTTTAAAGAATCTGACGGAGTGTTCTGACTTTTTTAAAACTTGCTCTTAAATAGGGGTTAAATCTTAAAATTTGTCATTAATGATGAGGACAATTCTTGGACATGTTTATAGAAACCTAGTGGTCTTCAGTAACTTCAGTCAATCCAGATCTAAATATAGATCCTGAAGGATGATCTGCCTCATATCTAAGATTAAGTAGTAGATGTCAGTGAATTGGGCATTTCATTACCATAGTGCTGGCATGCTTATGACATATCTGTAGAAGTGTTGTGGCATATGAGCCCCTGAAGAATAATACTAAAACTTTGAAGCCAGAGAATAATTTTTCTTGCTAGTCACCTAAATGAACACAGTGTACTGATAAACTGAACTACATAGATTTGATTCTATTTGATTTGATTCTGAATATCTCAAGAGTCCTCAGGTTCATCATACAGATATCATCATTTCCAAATCTCAAACTTTCTTCAAGAGAGCAACCACATTTATAACTTTCTTCCCTTATTTCAACTAAATTTGTTAACTCTTAGGTTTGGATCTCATAAGTCCTTTGCAAGTTTCCAGCAGGAGTCGGTGAGGTAAAGTCCATTTATAGGGTACTTTTTATTTTAAAGGTATTCTTGCATATATGATATATTTGCAGATGCATAATAATGTATATTGTACATTTTGCTGTACTATTCCATGACATACCTAAAATAAATGTTTAAAACCATAGCAGATTTTTAAAAATTCTCTCCAGAAGAGTTAAACTAATTGTTAGTCTTTAGAAAAGGAGCTATTAAAGGTCTATACTTTCATTATGTATACTTAAAGTCCAACCAATAGAAAAAAGGTATTAAGAACTTACTTTAGAATTTCTCTTTCTGCTCTAGGTTAGATATGAGGCCTAAATTGCCAAAATTATTCCCATAAACCTTCCTTTTGGGAAAATGTTCAAGGTAAATAGACCACTCATACTGTTTGCTTTCAGAGGCATTATGCCATTTAATCTTTGCAACAAACCTACAGTGTTATTATTATCTGTGTTTTACATATGATCAGTTTACTTGTCAATTTTTTTAATTATGGTAAGAAACACATGACATAAAATACACCATCTGAACCATTTTAAAGTTTAGTAGTATTAACTATATTCACATTGTTGTTCTTTGGAAAGATTACTGACAGCAGGAAATGTCTGCCCACAGTCAAATATAACTTGATAGAATTGAAAATTCAAATTTTAGAAACATATTAGAAATTTTTGCATCATTTCTAACAACCAAGTTACTAGAAGTTATAGTCTTAAATGTGGTATTTAGGCAAAAAAATTATTTTTTTTCCACCTACACTCTTCTTCCTCATTAAACATATATATTTTACCTCTTTGTATTATGACATAGACTTACTTGCTACTTTATATTGAAAGTATGGATCTGACCTATAATATTATTTCATCTCTGAAGATGTGAGAAGATACGAGCAGATCCCAGACCTCTGACATCAGCTTAATAAAAGGCACAGGCACACTTTAGAAAAGAGCTACTGATTTAGACTAATAAGAGCTGAAGAAAAGCTATCCATAAAATGGACAGGGTCCTTGCCAGGGTAGCAATAAGGCAGTAAGTACTACTGTACAGTAGCACTTTATTCTGATTTGTGTCATTTTTTAAGACACTAAAACCCAGAAAGATTAGAAATCACTTTGAATTTATATTTGCAAAACCTTGTGCCCATTCTTTTATCTTTTGGGTTTCTTTTATTTTTTTCTTCTCTTTATTTCCTCGTATCACCATCTATGCTGTCATGTGTGCATAATCAGCTTAGATACCTGAGTGGCCCTGATTTACATGTGGTAGCTTGCTTACCCACAGTGTATTGAGGATTCAGCTGGTTGCAGTTCGGCTGTGACTCAGTAGAGGGAGTAAAGGAGCTGAACAAGAAGAGAGAGCAAAAGAACATGTCTGGTTAAGTAAGTGTGCGCGCACCCAAGCCCTGCACCCAAGCCAGCCAGGAGGAGGAGGGGCGGGAAGGGGGGTGGTTGCTCTGCTCCACCCTCACTTTGTGTCAGCAGGTAAAGAGCGTGATTGCAGTCCCAGGGGAGGGAGTCAGAGCTAGAACACCAATTACAAACCACAGGCTTCCTCCTCTAGGGAGCTGATCCAGAATTGTCTTTCTGGAAAGGAAGCACTCGAATCCTTCCGAACTTTCCAAGTCCATCCATGATTCAGAGATACTGTCTTCTCCCTCTGGGATTTTCTGTGTTCCTGGTAGTGAATTGTTGCTGATGTATTTGCTACTTTACTTTTCTCTTGCAAGATTTGATCATTTTATATGCTGTTCGGGGAGAAAAAGAACTTTTGTTAGAAGGGACATTTCAGAAATGATTTTGGATCCTCTATAAGTGTTTTTAGAGTTCTTGGGGACATTAGCACTCACCCTGGAATAAGTTTCTGCCTTTGACCTGCATGGATTATTTTTTCAGGCTGCGGAATTTCTCGGCACCTACCTGCAGTGTGGGGCACTTGGTTTGGTTGCAGAGTAAGAAGGTGGAAGAATGAGCTGTACTTGGTTAAGCAGTTGAAATCTTTTTGAGCAGGATTTATAAAAGCATAATTGAATTTGTTTCATCCCGGTGGATTCCAGTGGGCCCGACAGCGCAACAGGTTTGCAGATTTCTTTTGAAATTCTTTTCTTCTCCCTCTGCCTCAGCAAAAGAAAAGAATCTATATAACAGGTTCATGTTCAATTGTTTGGCTTCTCAGCACTTATTCTGAAGACTTTATAAGATTTTTTTAACTTGTCCTCTGAACACAGCAGGCTTATGGCTGAAGTGCATTTATGTTTATTTAAGGGTGTGCATTTTAAAATCTTAGAATAAGATTTTATATGTACAAAGACCCAAATTCTCAAGTGTGCCTAGCAATAGCACAGATCTACTCAGACTTATTTTTACTTTTCCAGGAGCCTGTAGACTAATCACCTCCCTATTCCCCCTATCTTTAATTCCCCACACCCTCAAGGAATTTGAAAACGTGTTAGGAATAGTCCTTTGTTTTACTTATGAACCTAGAAAATTACAGATTATAGGACCTGGATAATAGTTTCCAAAAGCATCTCATGGGAAATTAAAGTGCTTGACATTTGTAAATGGGAGAATAAAAGTTGAAATTCCTAAGACAGAAAGGAAAAGAGATAGAAATAGCAATTTTATCTGGGAAAAATAGCTGGAAAGCTAAACCTTTTCAAGTATTCTTATGAAAGTTAGGAAAGGTTTGTGGTGCTCAGCATTATCCTGTAATATGTGAAGACATAAATTAGCACCTAATTTACATAGAACAATTTAAAAAATGTATTTAAGTTCATGATAAGTATTTATAAATTAATTATAAATAAATCTAGAACTTTGGCTCCCTGAAATACAGTTGAATGTGGAAACTTTTATAAATACATGTTATAGCATCTTTGGACATCTTTCAAGGTGTGGCCTGAAATATCGTTCCCTCTCCTCCCCCATTAAAAAAAAAATTCTCCTGTGATCTTTAGTTTTTTACCATTGACAAATTTTGTGACTTAAAAAGGAACCCCTCTTTCATTTCCTGAATTGGAGTTTTTCACTCTCACATTCGATACATGGCCTTAGTCATTTACTTTGCCTTGTTTTGTTCATTAACTGGGTTTAGTGGCTCGGCAACTTGATGCATATGGAAGACCAGCACCAAGTGATCTGACATAATTAACATTCAGGATGTGACATTCAACCTCAAGCACAGTTGGAAATTCCAAAGAGAAGTGGTGATATCTTTACTAATCATAGTGAAGATGGAAGAAAATGACATACCTGCAGCAGAAGTGGGCTGAAAATACCCTCTTCCCTTGCCAGATCAGGAATGCCACCTGTTTTAGGGAATATACTTTAGAGACAGGAAGGGCCACGACTACGATTGGCATACTGAAACTGAAGCATAAATTTTCTTTGCCTCCATTTGTCTGGATCTGAGAAACCTGCGTTTGGTATTAGCTAGTGGACGCAGTATGTATGGCCGAAGTGCATTGCTGCAGCTGGTAGCATGAGTGGTGGCCACCAGCTGCAGCTGGCTGCCCTCTGGCCCTGGCTGCTGATGGCTACCCTGCAGGCAGGCTTTGGACACACAGGACTGGTACTGGCAGCAGCGGTGGAGTCTGAAAGATCAGCAGAACAGAAAGCGATTATCAGAGTGATCCCCGTGAAAATGGACCCCACAGGAAAACTGAATCTCACTTTGGAAGGTGTGTTTGCTGGTGTTGCTGAAATAACTCCAGCAGAAGGAAAATTAATGCAGGTAAGGATAACTTTGTAATACTTCACTTTCCATCTGTTTGAAATATTCCTTTCTTCTTTTGTCTCCCAAAACAAATACCAAGCAAGGGCTTTTGCTCTTAGTTTTCTATTTGTTCTGTCCTTTGAGGATATTGCCTTATTGAAAATATGCTTCTTTTTAAAGAAGCATAAATCCTGTATTTTAGAAAATCATCCACTTATTTTTAATTCTGGTATTGCATTGCTGTACATATATATATATATACACACACATATATACATACACAGTAAGACTTTGCAAGTGATATATTCTAGATACTATTTTTTGATAGATAAATATGTGGGCTTGTTTTTAACTGACCTGAAGATTGTATTTTCAATCCTGCTTAAATTTGAATTGAATACTAAGGAGGTTCAATTTTAATGGTCAGCAGCACCCTGAAATTCTAGAATGCCCTTGGAGCATATTTGATCACACTGTCACTTTTAAAATTCAGTCAAGTTTGCATGCTATGGCTGGCTTTATACCACGTGTGGCACCCTATTGCTAATCCCAAAATGGAGAGAACTGGATTACAAAATGGACACAAAGTGTGAACTTACCTTCTAATCACTTTGGTCTTGTCTACACATAATTTTATTATTTTCATCAATTTTTAATATGACATCTGTTTATTGACTCACAAACTTTTTCAGATACACTTTCTTAGGCTTTCAAGCTGTGAGTTTTACCTGTATGTCATTCGTAGCCTACTCTTTACGTGCTGAATTTATGAACTGACTGGGGTCATGACATATAGATGAATTGCTCATTCCCCCTGTGAGGATAGAGCCTGGAGGGCTATATCTTTTTAATGTGGCATTCTAGTGTCTTCTTCCATAAATTTATGTTGCTTATTGATTAAAATTCGTTTCATAGAAGGGCACTTTTGGCTGTAACTTTTTGATACAGGTTAAAATGCTGTTAAATATGGTTTATCAGCATCAAAGCATAGATTTTTATTTTGTGGTATGAACAGAACCAAAGTATTATATGAACTTAAAATTTTTGTCTACTTAGAAAAAGATAAGAGAATTTTGACAAATTATAGAACTCTCTTTTTCCAAACATGGGCATATTTACATGTATGATTTAGTGGTTCTTGATTATGACTTCTTAGGCATTATTTGGAAGCTGGGATAAAGTGAAGTAGAAGAATTGGATGAAATGGAAGGCTCTGCTATTTAGAAAAATGAACAGGCAAAAAGGATGTAACTGAGGGCCTCCCCTGTGGCGCAGCGGTTGAGCGCTGGGTTGCGAAGCTGCCCGCAGCCTCTGCAGTGCCGGTTCGATCCCCGGCTGCTCCCCGGCCACCGGAGGAGGGTCCCACATGGCGCGCAGACCTCTCCTGCCGCCCGCTGCTCCCCTCAGCAGTGTACTTCGGTCCTTCTGCCTGCTCTGCTCCCCGCTCTGGCTCTGGTGAATTCTCTCACCCTCCCGCGCTTCTGACTGTACCCAGTGCTTGTATGTATGTATGTGTATCAATCAATCAATCAATCAATCAATAAATCTTTAAAAAAAAAAAATATTAAAAAAAAAAAAAAAAAAGGATGTAACTGAAATAATGACATAAGAATTTTTAGATATGAGTCTATTCACTTAATTTGGACTTTAGGATGGAATTAGAAATATATAAAAATTGAAATCATAAGTCATTTTTAATACAATTGGAAAGGAAACTTCCTGACCTTGCCTACCTAAAACCCTGAAGCATGACTTATGTGCTCCATTTTAATTTTTTACTCTTAAGTAATTGTACTACAGAGCAATAGTTTGATAGCTACGTTCTTTGGGAGCAATCCTAAGCTTATTAATGTCCTATGGCAGCATGTTCAATGGGCATATTATATGCTGCATAAAATAGTGTTCTCTTTTAATTTTGTCATGTTCTGCTATCATAAAGCTCAACATAAAGCTTCTGTGTATTCATAAAGAAAAAGGCATATGAGAGGCACTCGCTAACATTCTCTTTGCCATTGGTTATTTTGTCAATCTTTATCATATTCTTCCCCTGTTTTTCACTCTGGTAAGTCTTGCTCTTTTTTTTTTTCCTTAACTATTAATTTCAACTCTATCAGTATACTTTAAGAATTGTTTCTTTACTTTGTGAAGAGGGAATATCATTGTATGTATTATTTAGCAAGACCTTTTAGGCTTTAGAGTAGAGAGTTTGCATCCCTAGCAATTTTCACTCTTTCTTCACCTTTTCTGTCCAAATAAGCTTTTTCTAGGTTACTGAATTTGTGCAGTGCTGGAGACTTTCAACAATGGTTCTGGTTTGTTGTCTATTAAATTTGTATTCCACAAGTTAGCTGAATTTTCTTAATAGCCTCTTGGGAGAGACTTTATTTTTTAAAAACATAAAGAACCTTTAGAGTGGCATGTATCAGTTCTTCTTTATCCACTATTTGATTAACTCTTTCAAAGGATTCTAGCATGTTAGGAGACACCAGGTTTACACTTCTAGAATCCATGCTGCTTGATCCTTCAGATGACACTGCAACTCAGATTTACTTAACTGTGGTTAACCAAGCCTTCCATTTAACTGAAATTCTCTTTCCATCTCCTCTAGGTGTGCTTTGCTACACTTTAGCATTATTGGTGGTATCACAAATCTGAAGGCAGTCTTTTCTGTTGGCTTTGAGAAATACATACCCTTCTACTGATGAAATATTCTAGCTGCTTGTTAAGTTTGATTCTCTCCAAAGAGGCCATCAGATCTTTATAAAATTGGGAAATGTAAAAGTAGAAGAATGATGATGTAGGGAAAAGATAAAAACCTGTGGTTTCAAGAATTCCCAGAGAGTTTAGGAAAATCTGAGGTATCTTTCCATTTTGCTGAATTAATTAATTTCATAAGGATCGAATTAACTGGATTTTCATTTGTATTCCAGTTTTATTTTTATTTAGACAAAGAGAGCCATCCTTTGACAGTGTACTTCCAATTTGCTTAATAATAATAAAATTTGCTTGTCTCAGCTCCATCTGATGGCACTATGTACCAGGGCATTGAAGGCCAGGCCTTTGTAAATTTTTGTTCTGATTTTTATTCCTCACTCTTTCTGCTTAGGCTTCTCTTTACCAACAATAATATCCATTTTACAAGTTTTGTTCAGAGTTTTAAATTCTAATATTCTTTTTAAAATATTAGAAGAAATTCAAAATAGATGAAAAAATGTTGCCTTACCTGTAGTCCCTTCATTTCTTAAGCCCTCTCTTTTCCATTTCAAAACTCCCCATCTTAGTCCTAACCAAATTATATTGCCTTCCTTTTTGTTTGCCCAGGAGGTGCTTCTTTTCATTACCATATCATTTCAAATTCCACTGCAGGTCTGCCATTGTCTTAAAAGTGTCTACTTCTTTTTTTTTTTTTTTAAGATGTATTTATTTATGCATACAAGAACTGGCATACAGTCCAGAGATACAGGGGATGAGAAGATTCACCAGAGACAGAGTCAGGAGCAGAACAGTCAGATGAGTGAAAATATACTGGTGAGGGGAGCAGTGGGTGAGACAGGAGAGGTCTACTGCGCCCTGTGGGTCACATCCCTGGCTGGCCAGGGCCAAATTTCGGTTGCAGAGAGAGGCTGCAGATAGCTTCACAGTGCTATGTTTAACCCCTTGAGCCACCAGAGAGGCCCCAAAAGTGTCTACTTCCTAGGTTTCCCCTATGTTTACCAAAATCTTTGTCTCTTCTCCTCTGATTTCCTTGTACACTTTGTTTTCCACTTAATTAATATATTTAGGATAAACTTCCACTATTATTCTGATTAGCATTTCCCTAACTAGTCAGCAGAAATCCATGATAAAAAAAAATTGTAATTATGTGTAGTGGTGAATATTAACTAAAGTTATTGTGGTAATCATTTATATATATGTGGAGATATATATATTTATCATGTTGTATATTTAAAACAAATACAATATTATGTTAGTTGTATCTCAAGTTTAAAAAGATGGAAAATGGGCTACCCAATAATAAAATACATATCAAGGAAACTTTTTTAATCTCCCGATAATGTGGCTGTGCTCATAAAAAGGACTAAATAATAGTGATTATAACTTCTTACTACTTTTACTTCTTCATTTGAATATATTCTTTTCCCCCTGGTCTATATCATTGTAAGTGGAAAATGTACTAGAACTGATGCGTGGTCTAATTGTTCGGTTTTGTGATTCATTTAGCAGTCTCTTATCAATGGTTGTTTCTATTATTTCTAGTAATGTTGTTATCATTTCTAAAAATAATTACAATCCTATTTTCTTTCTCAATTCTTGTTTCTTATTTGTAAATGTTGCTTAGAGGAGCAACTCAAATCAGTCTTCTTTCTTCCCAGAGCAAAGGAGCAAGAGGATCTTAGTGTAGTGCTAGAAAAGTTGCCACTCTTTTAACTATCACACTCTTCTACTCAGCCTATTGTCCTGGATTTCCTTAGATTCCGGGATAAAGTTATGATCAAGATTAGAATTTACTGTCCTGAGGCTTTAGACCTACAATGGGAGCTACAGAAGTTCAGTACTTGGCCAGTAGCAGCTAACTCCTCCTGGACAAATTCCCCCTTGCACAATGTCTCTGCATGCCTCTTAATTTGCCTATTAGTCAATACATAGTTATCCCATCTTTACATTTTTACTTTATTCGTGGTGAGGGCCTGGAATGAATTATCCATGTAGGGAAAGAAAACTTTGTAATTTATGGTCAAATCTAGAGAGAGAATGCTATTTGCCAAACTATGGTAGACAAAGGGACTAAACTGGAACCCAAGGTACTTGACTTTTAACTTGATTCTGCCACTAAGTAGTTGTAGGACTTGAAACAAAATAGTTTTTAACCTATTTAAGATTTAAAGTCCTTTTCTGTTAAATTCAGAGATTTTTTTTTAAAGATTTATTTATTTATGCACATAAGAACTGGGGTATAGGCCAGAGGTACGGGTGGAGAGGATTCACCAGAGACAGAGTGGGAAACAGAACAGGCAGAC